AGAGTAAATATATTGACCAGCCCTAGAGAAAAATGTGAACATGGACAACTTAACATAGCAATACACCCTAGGATTCATCCCAAAAAGAAAATTCAGGGTAGTCTCTTTTTTTTTTTTTTTTTTTATTTTGCAGCTGGCCTGTGCAGGGATTTGAACCCGTGACCTTGCATTTTTTTTTTTTTAATAAAAAGCCTTGTTGCCTTTGAAATCAGCAGAATTAAATGAAACTCTTCAGGAACCCAAAAAGGAAGTTACTGTCACCCGACTGACCTGTGGATTAAAGTTGACAGTGATCTGCTTTGTCTCTGGGTCACGTTTCAGAAGTGGTTGGGAAAGATTGTACTGTGATTTCTCTGACACTGTCTGACACCAGTCTTCATAAAGTCTGGTCTCATACCTGCAAGGATCAGAGACAACGATCACCTCATGAGCATTCTCCTGGCTTCCCAACACCTGGTCATGACTTATAACATCAACTGAAGGTTGACCCAGCCTAGCTGAGTTGGCTCCTGCAAATAACCAGTAATTTCTAAATCAGAGGAGAGTAGAAAGACTCCATGCGATCTTTTGGGGGAATAAGGGAAGTTGTGATGGGTCTCAGTAAACGCTGGAAGAAGTTACTGGGTAAGATTTGCTCTCACACTAATCTTCACTCATGGACATTCATCCTTCAGTCATTACACATCCACCGAGCACCTAACATGTGCTGGGCTTGGGGGAAAAAATGATAAATAGGTAGCTCATGGTAAATGGAGCTAATGGTGGGGACCTCAGGTAAACAGATCATCATAAGACAACCCAGCAGGTCCAATCCTAGAGACATGCATAGGGCATCGGGCCTCTAATGGTAGAGGTGGGGGGTGACAAGGAAAATGTCAAGGAAGGTTTCACAGGAGAGGTGATGAAGCGGTGCTTGAGTGACGTTCAGAGAACGAGCAGAGGTTGGAGGTGGAGAGGTTAGCATTCCCGGCAGAAGCAACGGTGGGGCCACAGGGTGGAAGCAAGAAATGGCATGGCATGTGCTGGGAACAGTACATAGCATGCCTGAGGCTGGAGGGGGAAAGAGGGAGGCAGACCACGTAGGGGAGAGCTTTTCCTGTCTCGTTGAGGAGATGATTGATCGGAACGACTGAAATGTGACGTTATTGGATTTGGTAACACTGTGGGCGCTGAGGGGCTCAAGCCTGGAGGAGAACAGCTGTTTCCAGTCTCTCGTGAAGATGCCGGTGCTGGGGACAAAGAGGAGTGGATAGACTTGAAGCTATTTGGGAGATAAAAGGGGTAGAATGTGGGTTACCTGGCAGGTGGAGGTGCCACCAATCAACTTGTTTCTAGACCCTGCACCTCCAAAAGACTCAGCTTTAAAGCAGGAACAACTACGAAGCCATATAAAGTTTTCCTTCTCATGCTTCCTCCATAAAAGGATACAGGAATTATTTTTAAAACTTATTTTCTCTGTGTGTGGCATGCACCTGCTTTCTACTTAGTGAGCAGCTGCTGTGATTTTCTGTGACTCTGGTTGTGGAGTGCCGTGAGTAATGTCCCACTTCTTGTGGCTCTGCCGAGTTCATGCTCCCAGCAAAACTACACTGGAAAAGCATTTGTTTCTAAAATACAGCTGCATTCCCCAGAGACCTTGTGTGCAACCCAGAAATACTGTACTCACGAATACTGTAGTTATAAAATAAAACACCGAGGGACATTTCAGAGCCACTGAGGAATCTGCAGAAACTCACAACTGCAAAAGGCATTGTGGGGGCTATGCAGAGCAACACAATCCTGGAAGCTGCTTACTTGTCCAGCAATGAGAGCGTATCTTCATATTTTTGTAACATTCGCCTTCCTTCAGCAGATTCCATGCAACTACCCATACAAAAGAGAAAAAAAAAAGGCACAGAATTGGAAGAAGTGAAAATAATGATCTGAGGAACAAACTGCAGCTTATAAAAATGTTGAATAGCTTCTTGGGCTGGCTTCCAAACGCCCCTAAATGAGCCTGCATTCTTCTTCCTGAACATCCTCCTTGGGCCACTAGAGGGCATTTGCACTTCCTAAAATGCGGGCAGCCCCACAGGTGACAGAGATGTCATAACCTTTCCTGCCCATGGCTCCACCAACCCCCTCACTTAGCTGAGCCAGTCAGACACAAGGTAAATGAGATCCTCCAAAAATGTGAATAGAAGGGAAATGGAGATATTAAAGAAAAATTGTAGGTGCTATAGTTTTTCCATATTTAAGAAAAAAAACTATCAGTATTATGTATATAACATTATGTGCATATATATGCATATGTATAAAACTATGTATATAACTATGCATATATTATATACATGCTTTGTTATATATATATATATAAGTATATTTCCCCTTCTCTGAATACCGCCTAGGACACCTAATCAGAAACACCACTACCCCTTAACATGATTACATGAGGCTCCCTCCCACCTCTCACACCCCCAAATATGTGCACACGCAATGCATGTACATGCAGATAGACACACATGCACAAAGACATACATATGTGTGCTCACACACCTACACACACAGAGGCTTCCACAGGAATGCTGAGGACCAGAAAGGAGAGAGGGCTTAGCCTGCCCGAGGCACCGTTACACACACTGTTCCCCCTAGTGTTGACACTCTCTGTAATACCAAATGAAAGTCCAGCTCCTGGGAAAATTGGGGAAGTGTCTTTAATTTTCAGAAACCTTCACACTAACCATGTGGAGCTCTGTTTTTATTTGTCCTGCTAACACAATGAGGCAGCTTATTGCAAAGATTTTTAAAAATCCAAGTGCTCTTTAAACCAACACAGGGTTTCTTCACGGGATCCCTTGAGCTTTCCACAGAAGCCCTCACGCCTGCAGAGAAAGCACTGGATTTGCTGGTGGGTTTTCCAGCCTTAGTCTCTTTTGTGGTGAATGAGCAGATGCGTCTGTGAGCAGCAGGGAGAAGAGGAAAGCATGTCAGACCAGGTGGCGGCTTGCACCTAGCTCTCCCCTCCCAGGCTGTGGGTTTTCCAGGAGCCTCACAACCACGGGACAGGGGGCAGTTGCCCAGCGGTTTGAGGAGTCACAGGAATAAGTACAGTGAAATTCCCTGTAGCTTCCACCCTACTTCATGGTGAGAAATGCACCATGTACATTTTTTTTTTTTTTGTCCTTTTTGAGACCGGCTGCACTGCGCTCAGCCAGTGAGCGCTGTGAGTGCACCGGTCATCCCTATATAGGATCCGAACCCGCGGCGGGAGCGCTGCTGCACTCCCAGCGCTGCACTCTCCCGAGTGCGCCACGGGCTCGGCCCACCATGTACATTTTTAATAACCAATAAATACATACTACAGAGTACAAAATGAATTTGAATTCATTTCTAAAACAAATGGGAACTTCCATGGAAATTGTGGAGGTTGTTGTGGGGTGCCATCTGGACCCCCTCTTGGGACCAGGCACTCTTACCACCCTGTAACCTCCCCTTCCAGGCCCCCTCTGGCCAGGAGCATCGGCTGCAGATGAAGCACAGTGCCTCCCTCTTCAGGAACAGCCTCGGCCACCTCAACCAAGGTCACCCTTCTCCCCAGGAAAGCCCACATCCAATAACCAGCAGGTGTAGGGGTACAAAGGCCAGCAGCTCGGAAGGGCCAGAGCCCCCTGGAGGATGGGCTGAGGCCTCAGTTGCAACTATCCCACAGCCCACCTTCTCCCTCTGCCCAATCCCTTTCCCCTCTCTCCCTCGCGGTGGTGATCCCGGTGCTGGTCCTGAGAGCCTGTCTGTGGATTCCTGCACATGCATCTCAGAGTCTGCTTCCTGGGAACCAGACCTACAACAGCTACTGCAGTCCACATTACTCAAAGCAGCCCGACACCCCCCCACCCCAATTCACGTATCCTCTCCCTCCTGCCTTAGGGGGCATGTTTGAGAAGCAAGGGGGGCTTGGCTCTACTCCTGGTCAAACTTTCCCTGGCTGTGGACCCCCAGGAAGAGCTCTGGGCTAGGAGTCCTGAGACCCAGATGCTTCTTCCAGTTCTCTCCTTGGCTGTCTCTAGGACCAAAGCTAAGTCACCTCACTTTTCTCTGCCTCAGTTTCTTCATCTGCAAAATAAAGAGCTTGTCCAGACTGGAGCAGACACTGCAAATGGTTCCCCCACTGGGTAGAGTGACCCTCAGGCATGCTTTGTTAGATCTGTGCAGAGTCTGAGAAAAAATGAAATCCTTGATCACTTGAAAGTTAGGCATCCGTCCTTAAAATCCAGATGTCCAGCTTCTCCCCACAGTCAGGAGCTTGCTCACACTAGCTCTGCTTTTGTGCTTGGCAATGGTTGACTGAGGTGGAGGCAACCCCCTGCGGACCCCATCCTGCCCGTATTACAGCATTGGCCTCACTCGTTCACGCATTTTCCTGGCCTCTCAGGGTGTTTAGTCTCGCTGCCTCTGCCAGAGGGTCTCTAAGGTCCTTCTTAACTCCAAAAAGCTTGAAATTCCAATGGCCAGACTCGAATTCCTTTGTTTCTGCTGTATTTTCCTGGGTGCTTTCAACAAGATCAAATCTTTTAGAAATTGGGGTCCGACAAAGCCTGCCCTTTCTTTGGCAGAGTCATAAACATGGCATCAAAACAGCTCTTCACACCAACAGCTGAGAGGTCCCTGACTACCTCAGCTTTACACTCAGGTGTGCAGCAAGCTGGTAGTTCCCAAACCTGGTCACCATCAAAATCAGAGGAGGAAGACTGCCGAAGAGGTGGCTTCACAGCCCAGCCCAGATTCGGATTCAGAAGGTACAGGTGAGGCCCCGGAACCTGCCTCTTTAACAAGTGCCCCAGGTGTTCTAATACAGGAGATCCTCAGACTGCACTTTATGAGACTCTGGGCATCCTATTTTCCAATGGCCTCAGCAGCAGACAGACACAATGTCAGAGGGAGAACTGTGGAAAAACTCCATAGAGTTTGAAATCCCTCACTCCTTTTCCTCCAGAAATGGACCCTGCGGAGCAAAAGGAGTCAGCCTGTGGCTCTATATGCCTCACTTAACACCGATGGACCCGTTCCTCAGTCCAAATGTGTCAATACCTTTACTATCCAGTCAATAGGGAATGGAAGAAAATGAAGATGATTTTGATGCCTTAGGTAAGTGAGTTGCATCCTACAGCACCACATGCAGAGATGAACAGCAGCCTAAAGCAAGCCTGCCTTTCAGATACTCACGGATGCGGGATGCGTCTGAAGTTGCTGAAGGGCCCCTCGATGCGCTGCCTCAGCTCCTGTGCCCAGCGGAGGCCACCGGCCACAGTGGGCATGTTCTTGTGCACTGGGGAGAACCCTGGAGACACAGCACAGCAGGCTGAAGTGAGGCCCCTCCAACCCTCCAATGCCTCCCACCAGTTACTCCACTTCTGCCTCATCTACCTTCAGACTAGGGTCACCCAGGGCTCAGCTCGGGATTTCCTGGGAGGTCACCATGTTCTGTTAAAGAGGAAGGAAGAGTGGCCCTAGGGAGAACATGGGTCCCCTGCCTGAGCCATTCTGCGTTAACTGGTCTTGGAAGGTCCTGATCACTGGTATTTTTTAGAAGCTCTGAAATGATTATAGTTGTACAGTCAGAGTTGAGAAGCACTGTCTTAAACAGGCAACTTAACTCTGTGGGCCTCAGTTTTCTCATCTATAAAATAGGAACAATATCTTCCCAGTTTAACTTCCAGGGTGTCTGTGAGCATTCAATAACATTATGAACGAAATGGGCCATGTGAATTATAAAGCACTTGACCAGAGTTAGTGCAGCCTGGATGTTCTTACTTTAGTCCACAGAGTGGGTCTGCTTATAATTAGTTGTCAAGATTTAACAAATGTGATATTTCATTTTGTAAAAAATCTCAGTTTCTAGCTTCTCTGGTAAAATGAGAAGATTGGCAACAATCACCTCCCACCTGGCAGGTGGAGCTGCAGAGTGACCACTTCCTGTATTTCACTGTGGGCTCCACCACTCCCTGATGTCTCATGCTCAGTGCAGGTCCTTTATGTTCATTTCCTTTTTGTCTTCTGTTGGCAACAATCACCTCCCACCTGGCAGGTGGAGCTGCAGAGTGACCACTTCCTGTATTTCACCGTGGGCTCCACCACTCCCTGATGTCTCATGCTCAGTGCAGGTCCTTTATGTTCATTTCCTTTTTGTCTTCTGAGATAGGCAAAATAACCCTCACCCTTGACCCCCAATGATCCTTTCCTTTGATTAATTTTCTCCCCTTTAAGTGTGGGTGGACACTGGGTATAATGAGATATCACTCTGCTTATCATGTTAAAGGCAGAGGGAGAGGTTCCTGGTGGGCCTGGCTTAATCAGGAGAACCCTTTAAAAGGAGATAGTTTTCTCTGGCTGGTGGCAGAAGAGAAAGTCAGAGGTCTGAAGCATGAGAAGACTCAACATGCTGTTGCTGGCTTGAAGATGGGGGCAGCTACATGGCAAGGAATGTAGATGGCTTTTAGTCACTGACAGCAGCCCCCGGCTGACAGCCAACAAGGAAATGGAAACCTCAGGGCCACAATCACAGAGAACTGGATTTTACCAACCAGAATGAGCTCAGAAGTGAGTTTTCCCCCCAGAACCTCCAGATGCAAACTCAGCCTGGCCGACACCACCCTTTCAGCCTTGTGATACTGTGTAGTGAACACAGAATTACCATGCTGGACTTCAGACCTTCAGAACGGTGAGCTAGAAAATGGGTGTTGTTTTAAGCTATAAAGTTATAACCATTTGTCACGCAACAACAGAAAACCAATATGGCCTATGAAGAGACTGGAATTTTCAAACTCTGTATTTGACTGTGAGAAGCCATGAGAATGGTCCCACATAAAGCTGAGCCAGCAGATTTTCTGGGAATGACTTCCTAAGTGGAGGCAATTCTTAATAACTTCACTATGAAACCTGTTTATACACACAGTGGTCCTGTTGATAATTTCCCATTGCCTGAATAATGAATTCCAAATTCCTTAACATGGCACCAGGGCACTTCACAAGCTGACTCCAAGTTCCATGGCTGACCCACTGTCTCTCTACACACCTTGTCTGCTACCGGCAGTTCCTCCCGTGTCTGCTTTGGAGGCCTTTGCCTCTTCTCCCTTACTGTCAATCTCCCAACTTTCAAGGCTCAACTCAGCATCACCTTGTCCATAAACCCACCCTTGAATCTCCCAGCCACAATTCATTGGTTTGTTACTGTTCCATAGAACCCAAGCAGAACACTATTGATATTCTGTGCACAACCACCTTTTAGTATTAGTTATTTCATCCCTTATCCTGACTGGCCACCCCAACAGTGCCCGCAAACGTGCCTTGCATATAGCAAGGACTCAAGAAATGTTTGCAGAACTGAAATGAACTTGTGTTTGACTTTCAAACAAATGAGACAGGGCATCTAAACATCACAATAGATTTGGAGACGTCACACCTCAGCACAGTACTGCCCTTTGTCAGGCGCCTGCTGGTTCCTCCCACCAGAAGCACAGTTGCTATGGCATTAGAAGGGATAAGAAATTTTTCCTGGGCACATATAAATCTGTTGTGGAGTTGAGGTATGTTGAAGATTAATCAGTGTGGCAACATTGATCAAGGGTCAATACGTAAATCATGCTGTGGTCTCAGTTAACCAGAGGCAGTCAAGACTTCACTGTTCTGGGTCAGCCTGTCTGCCTCAGCCCCAGATACAGGGAAATCCACAGTTCAGCGAACTCTGCAATCACCCAGGATGGTATGGAATTTCAAGCAACAAGGTTGTGCTTGCTCTTCTTGGAGAACATCATACATCCATATATGGGCATTTAACAAACGCAAGAAGGGTAAGTTGCACGCTTCCCAGTAACAGAACTTCCCCATTAAAATCCCCAGGCAACAAGCTCCTACCAAGTTCTGCCTCCTCCAGGACATGCTGATTGTAGATGATCCTCACCACATCCAGGTCTTTGTTGAACATTTGGATGAGGACCAGGTATTTATCAGATGTCTCCTGTGCTACCAGTGGTCTTTTGAGGAGGTTTCCTGCTATGTCTAGCAGCTGTAGAGAGGGGAGAGAAAAAGTCACAGATTAAACCTTTGCAAGATTACATAAATCCTATTTCCTGGTTTTCCCTTCATATGCCTACCAATGTAAGAGGGGTGAACAAATGTTATTGTGGAACTGGATCAATAATGACTAATACGTGAATATTTATAGTCTTTCCCCCTCTCCTTTTCAATGTTTTAAGGAGAAACATTCCTGTCTGCTGGGTTACCTACTAGGTTCTCTCTGATTGTAAGAATCTGGCTAAAGAGTAAAACAAAGGAAAAACTAAAGATGTAAGGAAGGTTAAGTTGAGCTACATAATATACACAGGTGGAAGGTGAGTGGACTGGGTGTTGGTGAGAACTTGGAGGGCTGAAATTTGAGAGTGGGAGCAAGAAAGAAGTCTCAGAGAGCAGCTGCCTCAAGAATGGCTGTGATGTGAGGATCCTTTGAATGTTTTCCTGTGCGTTGAAACTGCCCTAACCCCTTAGTGTTGCCTGGAGCAACAAAATCAAAATGTGGAATGCTTTAAAGTACTTTTTGGTTCCTGAACCGTGTTTCTTTGATTGTGATGCTGCCCTGAGGCTGGGCTATGTAGGACCAGTTTTATTTAGGATACACCAGTACACTGCTTCTAAAGGTGCCTTCTATTTTAACTTCCCACCTACACCTTGTACAGGGTTGAAAAAGCACAGCCAGTGGGTGGCCAAACCTGGCCCATGGCTGTGGTCCATAATTTTTACATTTAAAATAAAAATTTAAAAGAAGAATATGTGACAGCGAACATATGTGCCCACAGTCAAAATATTTATTCTCTGGCTCTTTGAAGAAAAAAAATTTGCCAACCCTTGCTTTAAGTCAATAGGTATGAGAGAGACGAGGTGAAATGCCATCCACTGTCCTAAAACTAGAAGCCGAGTAGACCCCATTCATCAAAGACCTCATGCTCTTTCTCCTGTCACTTCACTTCCCACTGACCATTCTCATGGCTTCTTTTGCTTTGCTGCCTTTCAAAGCCTGAAGTAGAGGGACAGAGTGCAAACTCCAGGAGCTGGCCTGGCTGGGCTCAGGATCAGATGGTCTTCAGAAGTCCAGGCCATGTCATGGGAATGGCCAAGTGCAAAGAAGAGCCACATAAGGGCACCTAGGTTAGGTGTTTTACAAGTTAGACAGTTGGATTTTTTTTTAATGATTCCAAGGTACTCAAAAGACTCTCTATAGGTGCTAAAAGCCTCCCACTGAAGGCCCTAGGACCACCCTTTCCTCTACAAAAAAATCATCCAGATCTCTGGAGACAGTAGAAATAGCTCTTTGTTCATGGAGGCAGAAGAGAGCTGGTTTCCACTAAGTTCTGTAGCTAAATACTCCTGTTGGGAAGGTACAGAGGTGTGCACTGAGGAGCCACTGCAGCCAGTCTGCACCGTCTGACTCAAGGTCTTTGACCTGGATGCACCCAGTCTGGCCATGTCCTCCGAGGTTCATCTAGAGGTTGAAAGATCTTACAGCAGTAACAGGGGTATCTGGAGTCAGGTGATCTCCTGGCCTCTACTTCCCAACCCTGAAAAAGCACTTCTTTGCATGAATTTATAGCCATTGGAGCTTTTGCTTTGGCTGAAGGAAGAGAGAAGGGTTTTGGTTTCATGTTGGTGAGATGATCAAAAAGAGAGAATCAAAACAGGCAGAAGTGACTGAATTGTTATGGTTTTCCTACCCAGTTCCCATGGGCTGAGAAGAGAAGTCAAGGCCAGCAGATAGAGAACCTTCTTTCATGGCAGCCTTTTGAGACTCTGGTTACAAGTGGTGTTGCTTCAGGGACCGGGAACAAAGTTGGAAAGGTCTGCCTTTACTTCTGCCCAGAACCCTACTCCACCATAAAATGTCAAAGATTGAAGATTTTGGAACTCAGAGAGATATGCCCTTGGCACAAACATAGATTTTCACATTGGGGACCACAAGAAGAGCAATAGTAAAACTCCTTTCCACACCTTCCTGGGCAGATGAAATTCTAAGAGAGGCTGTAGACATGTAGCAGAGACACACAATGATGTCAAAGACAGAGTGACTTGAGAATACGTGTGAGGCATTCTTTGAAGACTCCTAGAAATCCTGAGTGCAGAGGGAGTTATAGGACAGGTAGGGCTGGGCATCCTCAGTGCATGAATGGAGTTCCAGCTTCACAAGTTATCTGGGCAGTAAAGTCCCAGTTAGCCATGACAGTGAATGGCGAATAATATCATTCTGTAGACATACATAAGCCTTTTCCTTGGAATTAGTTCAAATGCTTGAAGAGGGGAATCCCAAAGTCTTCCTATGTGAGTTATGGAACAGCAGGTATTTACCAAAGGTTACATACATATAGTCAATGGCTCATGAAGGCTGGCACGTTTGCATTACGTAGCATTCTAGAACTGTGTGGATTCAACCATCCAGAGTTTAAGCCTATTCTACAATTGTACCATTGGTCATCTAGTCTATGTTTGGGCAGTTTCAGTGACTAGAAACTTAACTCCTTGTTGAGAATGTCCATTACATCTTAAACAGCTTTGACAAAAATCTCTTTCTTCCATTGAGCCAAAATTTGCCTCCTGGAAACTTCCACAGGTTAGTTCTGATTCCAATCCTTAAGGCTTTGTAGAATAAGCCTGTCTGTAGTTTATAGAAGACCTAACATGTTCCACTAAGTCTTTATGTCTCCTGAGTCAGCATTTCTCAGACATGCAGCCATTTATCTACCCATTGTCCTAATCCTTCTCCTCCACACTCTTTGTACCATCTGATCTGGGAAAGTCAGGGCAAGAGCATAAGTCTTCTTATTCTACTTACTAATGCCTGAATCCTACAATCCATTACCTAGTAGGTGGTTTGCTCCAGCCTTAATCAACTTAGCAGCAGTGGTTAAGTAGTGATGGTACTGCAGATTCATGGTTTCAGGATGGTGATCACAGTAGAGTTTCTCACACTTAATGGGTATCCTACCAAGTGTATGGGGTCAAAGAGAATATTGCAGAAGAAACACTTTTATTTTTTTTTATTTTTTATTTTTTTGTCTTTTTCCGTGTCCGGCAACGGATCGCAACCCTCAGTGTTGCCCCCGTACCGGACCGGGGACCGGCAAC